GATTGATTCTACACACACACGCACAGACAAATGTGGTATACATACAACACTTTCTTTTTTTAGATTTTTAAATGATTTTAACTCAATTTTTTTAAATTGACAGATAACATTGTATGTATTTATTTTGTACAATATGATATTTGGAAGTCTATATACATTGTGGAGTGGTTAAATCTACTGAAGTAACAAATGCATTACCCTATATAGGTATCATTTTTGTGTTAAGACCACTTAACTATCATTCTTTTTGTATTTTTCAAAAAGACAACATATTTTTATTGACTATAGTCACCTTGCTGTCTAATGGGTCTCTTGAGTTTATTTCTTCTAACTATAATTATAAATCTTTTGACCAACACCCCTTTCATCCCCCTATTCCATAATCATCCTAGATTCTGGTAACTGTCATTTTACTCTTTACATCTATGAGATTGACTTTTTAAGATTCCAAATATAAGTGAGATGTGCTGGGCTTATTTTACATAATCTGATGTCCCCCCAGGTTATCCATGTTACTAAAAATGACAGGATTTTCTTTTTGTGGTTGAATAGTATTCCATTGTATAGATATACATCACATTTTCTTTGTCTATTCATCCACCAATGGCCATTTAGATTGATTCTATACTTAGCTATTATGAATGCTGCTGCAAGAAACTTTGGAGTTCAGATATCACTTTAATATACTAATTTCATGTCCTTTTGATATATACTCAGTAGTGGGATTGCTGTATCATATCATAGTTCTATTTTTAATTTTATGAGGAATCTCTGTACCATTTTCCATAATGGCTGCAGTAATATACATTCCAACCGACAATGTATAAGGGTTCCCTTTTCTCCAAGTCCTCACCAACACCTATTATGTTTTGTGTTTTTGGTAATAGCCACTCTAATTTGAATGAGATGATATCTTACTGTAGTTTTGATTTGCATTTCCCTAGTGATTACTGATGTTGAGAATTTGGTCATATACCTATTGGCCATTGCAGGTCTTTTTTGACAGATGTCTACTCAGGTGTTTTACCAATTTAAAGAAATGTTTCAATAGTTTTAGGGGTACAGGTGGTTTTTTATTACATGGATGAATTGTATACTGGTGAAGCCTGGGCTTTTAATGCACTCATCACTCGAGCAGTATACATTGTACCTGATAGATAATTTGTCATTCCTCACTTCCCTCCCACCCTTCCCACTTCTGAGTCTTCAATGTCCACTATACTACTCTCCATGCCTTTACGCAATCCACAGCTTAGCTCCCAGTTACAAGTGAGAACACGTGATTTTTTGCTTTTCATTCCTGAGTTACTTCACTTAGGATAATGTCTTATAGTTCCATCCAAGTTATTGCAAAATACATTCATATATTATTCTGTTCTTTTTTGTGGCTGAATATTATTTCATGGGGTGTGTGTGTGTGTGTGTGTGTGTGTGTCTTTATATATATGCATGCCACATTTTCTTTATCCACTCATCGGTTGATGTGCACTTAGGTTGATTCCATATCTTTGCAATTGTGAACTGCTCTGTGATAAATATAACGTGTGCAGGTATCTATTTTATATAATGACTTATTTTCCCTTGATATACTATACTTTCTTTATCTGTTCATCCATTGATGATTGGCATTTAGTTTGTTTCCATATTTTCGGCACTTCATAATCTAAAATAAACTTAGACAAGAGAGCAAAATACTATACTAGTTAAATTAAAATTTGATTTTCAACAAAATTAAATTGCAAGGTTTTATTTGCTTGTTAAAAAATATTTTGCTGTATTTGTTCACTCTGCTAGGAACTACATACAGGGTGATTTTATGAAGATAAAAACCTCTGGAATATAACATATTTTAATATGGAAGCTGTGTGAATGGAAAATATATGTTTTTTTTTTTTTTTTTTTTTGAGATGGAGTCTCGCTCTGTCGCCCGGGCGGGAGTGCAGTGGCCAGATCTCGGCTCACTGCAAGCTCCGCCTCCCGGATTCACGCCATTCTCCTGCCTCAGCCTCCCGTGTAGCTGGGACTACAGGCGCCCGCCACTTCGCCCGGCTATTTTTTTGTATTTTTTAGTAGAGACGGGGTTTCACCGTGTTAGCCAGGATGGTCTCGATCTCCTGACCTCGTGATCCGCCCGTCTCGGCCTCCCAAAGTGCTGGGATTACAGGCTTGAGCCACCGCGCCCGGCCAAATATATGTTTTTAAAGCAACTGTTTCTTTTTGAGCTCTGCCACTTGCAGAAATCTATGCGAAGATTCTTCTCATTATTTTTACATGGTTTATAGCAGGGGCCATTTTCCTGAACATATATCCAAGGACTGTTTAGGCTCAATCCCCAGCTGACTGCTCTCTTACATTGAAATGCAACCTGTGCTGCATTTTATCTCCCAATATCTTACCCCTGGATCACATCTACTGTGATGTTTACTTATATAAAGTTGCATGTAGAATTCCGGATCCATTTTCCTGACACCAGTTCAAACATGCTTGAGCCAATCATTACAATCCAGATTTCAGCACTAATACTTGAGAGGCAAAGAGATTACCTGTATGTCGTCTGCCTGAAGTGTTTTGGCTGCAGCCAGCAGACTTTAAACTGGACAATCTTGTTTAATGTCTACATTATTAATGGGACAAAGCTGATGCCAACAAGCCAGAAGACCCTGAAATAAGAACAAACCTTAACGCAAGGCATTTCGTATCAGGCACAATTAATACTTGCTCCTTTCTCTTTATGTCTTTCCAAACTTTAGCCAAATTTGGGGACTGGTTCAGCTTTTTTCTTCTGCTTTTCCTTTTTTCCCCCTAAAAGTAATCCAAAAGGAAATTATTTGGTAAATTATTGTAGAAAACGTAATAAGAAACAGATCATCAGTACATTCCATTGGAGAATTCGAAACACAGGCATGAATTTATCACAAATCCTCGTGAACAATAAGGTTGGGGGATGCAGCACTTCACCCTCAAGCTGTCTTCTTTATTTCCCTTTCATTTTTTCAGTTAATAGACTTTATTTTTCAGAGCAGTTTTAGGTTTCAGAAAACATAGGCAAAAAGCACAATTTCCCATATTACACACCTCCTACACTCCCCACCCTTTTTCCCCTAACATTAACATCTTGCATTAGTGTGGTACATTTTTAAAACTGAAGAGCCAATACTGATAGATTATTAACTCTAGTTCATAGTTTACCTAGGAGTTTACTATTTGCCTTGTACATTCAGTGGGTTTTGATAAATACATAATGTCTTGTATCCACCATTATAGTATCATACAGAGTAATTTCACAGTCCTAAAAATCCCATGTTTTGTACTTTGCATTCTCTTATATTCCTCCTGAACTCCAGCATCCACTAATATATTTTTCTTTTTCCTTTTTTTTTTTTGGGACGGAGTCTCACTCTGTCTCAGCCTCCTGAGTAGCTGACTACAGGTGCCCGCCACCGTGCCCGGCTAATTTTTTGTATTTTTAGTAGAGACGGGGTTGCACCGTGGTCTCAATCTCCTGACCTCGTGATCTGCCAGCCTCGACCTCACAAAGTGCTGGGATCACAGGCGTGAGCCACCGCGCCCGGCTGCATCCACTAATGTTACTCTCTCTCTCTATATATATAATGTTACTGTCTCTATAGTTTTGTCTTTTCCAGAATGCCATCTAGTTTTACTCATATAGTATGTAACTTTTCACACTGGCATCTTCCACTTACCAATATACATTTTCATGCCTTGACAGCTCATTTCTTTTTGTCGCTGAATAAATACATTGCATGAGGTAAGGTACCAGAATTTGTTTATCGGCTTTTTTAAATTAAGGGAAACAAATATAATATATTTTTAAACGAATGGTTGATTTTTTTTTTGTTGGTTTCAAAGAAAAGTAATGAAATGTCATTGAATGAAACGATTTGATATGGTGACCTCTATGTGTCTGCCTAACGAGATTTAGTGGAGAAGATGCTGTATCATTTAGAGTGCGTCTTCCTTCTTAGGATGGTATTTAAACTTATTCCTTTGTGAAAACTTTCACAGAATTCACACAGAATAGTGAAGTCTGCTTTGTATAGAAATCAGTTATACGAATAGAGGCTTTTCTAGGAATTGAGCAGGTACTGTCCATCAGCAAACCCATTGGACTTTAAGGCATAGTCCGGTTTTGCTTGCTTCTCTAATGCGGTGTGTATTTTTCTGTAATAAAATCTTTTTTTTTTTTTTCACTCTTTCAAATACTAGAAATAGAAAGCTAAATGTCTAAAATACTCTACTAAGTAATTAGGAATTCAAATATATACCCTGTTGTTAAAAAATTAGCCTAAAACTTAGTGCCCACTGTAGGAGCTAGGACTATGAAAATATATTTTAGGATATTTTGTTAAATAATTTAAAACACAAATTCTAGATAAAATATGATCAAATTGTGTAAAACATATATGAGCATAAATATTTGTTAATATGTGTATATACATACATACATACATACACACAAACACATACTCTTATATATCAAGAAATAAAAAGTCTGGAAAGTTAAGAACAAAATCTTCAATTTGGGCAATGGGATTGGAGTAGGATTTTCCCTTCTTGGTAGTATTTTTTAAAAAGAAGATAGGTTACATGTCAACTTAATTTTTACTTTATTTTTCTGTTTTTGAATTTTATTTTTCAAAAGGCTAGAAATACGTTTGAAACATTTAAAAAGAAAAAGCAAAACATACATTAGCAGCATAATTTGGGAAATATCCTGGATTTTTACTGTGAAGATGAAAGAAAATGCAGGTGCACATTTTAATTTTAATGTTCCAATTAAATTTCTAAATCCCTAAATAGCTTCTTTTAAAAGTTGTTCAAATGTTTATTCTAGGAAAGTTGCTGAGCTTATTTGAGAGTAGAAAATC